TGATAACCCCCCCCCCTCGTATCCCCCCCACCCCCCCCCCCCCCCATTCCTGTTCCCTGTGTGAGGAACGTGTAAATAAACCATCCTCCTTAACTCCTCCGTCATCTACTCTCTCCTAATCTCATAACATCCTGAAGTAAGTCTGGATGTAGACGATGTCTGCTTGGATCACTCGCTGACCTGACATGTGAGTGTAGACGTGCACGTGTCCAGCCGTGTGTCCAGCCGTGTGTCCACCACCACATCAGGACGAGGAGGGTTATTTATTTTGAAGCTTTTCCTTTCTTTTTTCTTCTTTCACTCTGAAATCACCGAGGGACGTTAGCTTGACCTTCAGATAAAGATGTGCTGTGCTGAAACAGGCGACTGCTCGTCACCAGACTTATTGCTCATTTACTCCACATTGACCCGAGGCAGGTCAATGTCTTGACATTGACTTCTTCTCGGGTTCCGTCCTCCTCTGAGCGAGCGTTTGTTCGTCTGATATTTATCTAAGGTTTAAAGATTTCTCGCTCTGATCCCATGTTGTTCCTCCTGCTGCTGTTGGCAGACACTGAGTGACTTATTGTTAGCTTTGTACAAAGTTACACACACACACTAACAAGCTAACACTCACACTCACACAGTGTCAGTGAACAGGCTGCGTGTGGGTGACTAACGGTTCAGTATTTTTCATTTTTAAGGTAAGGGAAAGCTGCAAAAGTCTAGAATTGAAAAAAGAAAAACTCCAGCAAATTCTATGTACCTTTAATTTCAATTATTTAAGTGTGAGATTTTTAGACGCTGAGAATTTCAAAAGATGGTTCTGAGTCAGTGAAGAAGAAAAAACAAGAAAGAAAGAAACAAGGGTTTCTGACAAAGGCCTTTGGGTAAATGATGCATCTTGTTAATACTACATTTCCAACCATTTCAGTGCTTTAGCACATTGTTTCTCAAAGACTGGGTCGCAACCCTCAGGTGGGTCGATTTTTTTGGGTCGTCTCACATCATGTGTCCATTTTTTTCGGTCGTCTCACATCATGTGTCCCGGGAGTTTACGAATAATGTCTTTATTATATTTATAATATTTATTTATTATATTTATTATTATTATATATATATGTGTTTATATTCAGTAAAACACTTCACCTGATCTAAGAGTTTGTTTGAAACACAGGTTGTTTGTTTTTTCTGATTGTTTTTTTTTAAACCAGTGATTATTTACACGCCTCCGTCTGTGACGCTGTCTCTGCAGCCACTGTTTGTGACAATCACTTTAACAGGCAATTTACATCAATTTATTCACCGCTGGAACACAGACCTCGCTGATGCTGATGCTGATGCTGCTGTGGTGAGAACAGCAGCAGCAGCAGCAAAACCTCTTGTTCAATTTTGTGCTGTGACACCGCGAGGAAACACAGCAGATAATGTCCAGAAAATGTGACATTTGATTCACAGACGCTGCTTTGAATGAGATCGGTCTGTATTATTATCAACGTCAAGTAAAACTGCATTCCTCGTGTCCCTTTATAGTTCTTACTGTTATTTTTTTAAATTAATTTTCATTTCTCCCTGCAGGATTTGTCACTGCGAAGGCGACGATGAGAGTCCCCTGATCACGCCGTGCCACTGCACGGGGAGCCTGCGCTTCGTCCACCAGGCCTGTCTACAGCAGTGGATCAAGAGCTCCGACACTCGCTGCTGTGAGCTCTGTAAATATGAATTCATCATGGAGACCAAGCTCAAACCACTGCGTAAGGTAAGGCCTGAGATGAAGTCGTCAGCTCTGAAATTCTCCCTGCTTTTCTGCACAGAACACCAACCAGATTGGACTGGTACGAATGAGTCCCACCTTGTTGTGATTCATTCCAGACGGTTTAGCGGCTGCACACAGTAATGAAGAGCCTCATCTAGCTGGCTGTGATGTGGAGATAGAAAAACACTCTTAATTAATATTGTTCCACTCTTCATTACCTGCACAAAAGCCCTTAAACACAGCTCGTCTGCTAACAGTCTCTGAATCCCACAGGTGATGGAACTGGAGGTTCTCGTCTGAAGCGGCACAGAAACTTGAGAACAGGCCAGGACGTGTTGAATTCAGCTTCACAGCTGCTTCTTGTGTTTTCACTTTTCATTACTGGGAGAATTTGAATGGAAATGAGTCTCAAGGTTTTAGGGTTCTGCAGCAAACGGCGCCGGGTAGGACACGTAACTTCAGAGCGTGAACCTCGTGGATGTGGGATAACAGTCTGATTAGAAACGAGCAAAATATAAATAAGAAAATCTGTGAATGCTGTAAGACTAGTTTACTTGGTTTAGACAAATACTAACAGTAAAAGACTGAACATTAACACTCAAAATCAACTGAAATATGAATTTTTAGAAACGGTTGGGAAACACTGCTGTAATGTCTGTCCATCTGTTGTTCTTATAAATGTATATATATATTATATAATCACATATATTCACATATATAATCACATATATATGTGCATATATACTGTATATATGCATATATTCATATATACATATATATGGTATGTACTATATTTGTCTTTTTTTTTCGCTGTTTACCTCAACTAAAAAACAACTTATCGTCAAAGCAGCGTTGAATATTCAGTCTTTTTGGTCTCATCTCCTCGTCCTGTCGCCAACAGTGGGAGAAACTACAGATGACGGCCAGCGAGAGACGGAAGATCATGTGCTCGGTCACCTTCCATGTCATCGCCATCACCTGCGTGGTGTGGTCACTGTACGTTCTCATTGACAGAACAGCAGACGAGATCAGACAAGGTCAGAACAAACACACACACACACACACACACACTCTCACCTAATGTGTGTTATTAGAGGTGTTTACCATTTCAAAGCCTTAATTGTACGGCATTCATGGACAAATCAGCATAATGATATAACTGTGGTAAAACTGTGGTGTTTGAAGCACCGATTGTGAGTCATGTGACATATTTGATGAAAGCCAGTGATGTTCACATTGTAATCCACATTTCCTTTACTTTAGAGATCATTTCATCAGTTCAGGTGGCAGGAGGTAAAGAGGAGGAACTTAGTTCTCGGTTCAACATCGTACTCCGATCCAGTTGTAGATGTGAATTAAAGGAAAAGTCTGAGAAGTTCTGAGTAGCCCTAAGGCTTTTAAACGCTAGTAGTCTGTAGTCTCAGTGTTAGAGGAGAGCATACAGAGAGTAAGAAATGGATTCTAATGACTGAGTGTTAAGGCCTCACAGTCCTGCAGGAAGTTCTTTTTTTATATCTATTACATTCTAAGAAACAGTTGAGGGTCAGTTTGCTGTATTACCATTAAAATATAAAATATTTTTGGTTGACTTGTGGCTACACTGAATTATTTTACATTAATTCAGTTATTTTTATATTAACTGTGCAGTTGTTTTAGTTCTAAGAGAAACATCTAGAAACTATATGAGTTTATTTCAACAAAATATCTCCCGTTACATTAGCATCTACAGCGGCTACCATTTTTGTAAACTCTTGTTTTTCATGAACAAGTCTGTGTAAGCAGTTAGCGGGGTCAAAGGGTTCAAATTCCTAACTTTAATAGTCATTATACTACCGTTTTTGTAGTACTGCAGTCATTCCCAAGGGAGGTGCACCTTCAAAATTTAATTTAATTTAATTTAATTAAACAACCACAGTGATGCTAGAAAATCTCATGTGATTTCTCCACCAAATTTCATAAATCAACATTAATATTAATTTAAACTTTAAATAAATATAACCACCAGCCACGTCTGACTTGATGAAATCTATTTGATGGTGATGTTTGCATGATGAAGTGACAACTGTACCAATGTGATGAATGACTTGTGGTGTAAATGTCGAGCCTTGATGATGTGTGTGTTCTTGGTGATATATGACACCTACACTCTTTTCACTAATGCAGCCGGAAGAATCCCAGGTAAAATTTCCACTTTGACCTTCTCACCTTCAGTATTGTGTTCTCCCTCTGTCAGCTGTGCTGTTCACTCTTCCTTTTTGCTTTTACACCTTGATTTATGGTTTTATAAAAATATAATATAAAAAACCCCTCTCCGTCACCTTTAAACAGACAGTTATATTCACACTGCTGCGCCGAGTGTGACAACCTAACAAACGCAGACAGACAGCTGGGGCTGAGGGTTATCATTAAATGTCTTGACTTTTTCATTTCATTAGAGGAAACAGGTGCAACGCTTCAGTCGACAGCTCTTCTCAGAAAAATGATTTTTTTTTTTCTTTCCTAGCGGTAAGTCAGCCATGGGGCAGTTGTCTGCAGTTAAAAGATTCACTGAGTGTTTCCAACTTAATAGCTGTTCATTGCCCTCTACTGGGCACAGTATCATATACCAGTACAGATGAAAGAGAAACTCTAATATTGTAGTTTGTAATTCTTGCTGTTAACACATTTATATAAAATTTTCTACAGTTTTAACAGTCGCATAATTATGGTGGATAATTAAATTCGCTCCAGAGTATAACTCGCACTAGCCAACTAGAGTGCCCTCTAGCGGCTGTCAGTATGAAAACAACGAACATGTAAATATTTAGTGGTACGGGAGTAGCAGATACTGGTACAAAAGCCTACAGTGCCCTCTTGTGGCTGTCAATGTGAAAGTAACAAACGTGAAATTATATATTTTAATATTTAACTTACACCTGAGTATAAGTTGCAAAAAGTGCAACTTATAGTCGGTATAAATACGTAGTTTAATCTTGAAAGTCAGATCTTTGACACAAATTCTTATAAATAAACCACACTACTTCTCCTCCCTCCCCTGCACGAATCACACAAATGTGATTTGAACCTGTGCAATGTGTTTATGTTCAGTTTCAGTTTGTGTGTGAAACTGTATTAATGTGATTTTATTTCAGTCTTTTGTGTTATGCTTATGTAGCGTCTGGGATGTCCTGAGTCTGACCTCAGGGTTGGTCAAAGTCTGTTTGTGTTTCGTGGAGATGTCGATGTTTTTCCTGATCCTGGACGTTCTAGAACAGTTGTTGCAAAACCACGTCCAATGTTTACAAAATATTAAAATGAAGGAAGGACAAATCGTCTTGTCATTTCAGCAAAAGATCACGAATGAGATGACTTTTAGATTAGTCTCACACTGTTGGACCTGTTTTAGTTTTTGTCTGCGTTTTCATTCATAGGATTGTGTATTTAGGAAGTAGAAAGAGGTTGTTCCCTTCATAGCGGTCTAGGCCTGTAGCAGTTTAACTAAGGTGTAGCTCAGATTAATCACAAAGTCTTATCACAAAGACAGGTTAAATCCTAACTTCTCAGTTTAGTAGATGGACCAATCCGGATCAGGAGCAAAAACAGAAAAAAATCATTTTTGACATCTCCACTCTTGACTTTTCTTATCATCTTTTTTTGTATGTACAGTCTGGTCAGTGTTTAACTACGTGCACATTCCCTGTGTGTTTGCTCTCTGTTTCTCAGGAATCCTAGAGTGGCCGTTCTGGACCAAGCTGGTGGTGGTGGCCATCGGATTTACAGGCGGACTGGTTTTCATGTACGTCCAGTGCAAAGTCTACATACATCTATGGAGGAGACTGAAGGCTTACAACAGGGTCATATACGTCCAGAACCGACCAGAGACGTGTAAAAAGCTGGCACTGGAGAAGCCGCCTCTCCTGGAGCCCAGTCTGGAAAACAAGGAGGCGCTAGTCCCGACTCAGTCGGACACAAACTCCTCTCAGTACACAGAGACAGAGGACTACGGTATGGAGGTGCTGCACGTCTGACCGCTCAGTCCAATGCCATCGTTGGTCCTACGAGAACCACGTCACAAACAGGTTCAGTGTGACTGAGGTCGGAGCGGACCCTGAACCCAGTGTGGTCCAAGCTCCGGTGTCCGGTCTTCTGTCGTCAAAGTTCCTCCTGCAGAATCAGACAGATCTCGACTGTCTTCTTCTAACTCAAAATTCATCCTAAGAGACTCCTTTTTTCCGTCTGCTCCTTAATTTCACGTTCCCCTTCTCCTGCACTGGACGGTTTCCACTGAAGTCTGTAAATGTCTGAGGAGACCTGGAGCAGAGCATGAACTCACAGCAGTCTGTGTACCTGTGGAAGAGCAGGACTGAGAAAGAAAGAAAAGAAAAACAGACTGTGAACAGCTCTGAAGGTCTACACCTAATCTGACGCGTGGTGTTTTTGTTTGTGAGTTTGTAACATTTGTTTGTTTTTACCTGCCGTGAGTTGAAAACGGCGTGAATCGGTAAGTAGCGCTGCACACGCACCAGGTCTCTAGAACATTCCAGCCACTGCCGTCTCTGTCGCTGTGGTCTGTCAACGTCAAGTTGGTCTTAATGAGGACATGCATCAAAGCACTTTCAGTTTTCCAGTCTCTTTGTCTCGCTCCTTTTTTTTTCTCTCTAACGTGAATGGACTCGTGTGGAGGAGACGGAGCATAAACAAACCTGGAAATCTTTGGGTTTTTTTTTCTGATTTATTTGAAGTGATCTTCTTTCAATGCGTGTATATAAAGCCTGTGATGGATGACACAAAAGGAATGGAGTTGAAAAGTGGTAAAAGTCAATTGTTAACTGATCCCTGTGGAGTTTAAAACAAATCACTGGCAGAAACCTGACAGCTATGATTAGTGTTAATGCTCATTTTCTTTTCTGTGCAGGTCAGGAATCACTTCCTTCATAACAGCTCACTTTAGCTCTGAGAATAGGTCAGACATGACAGTTAGTTACATTCTTTTTTTTTTCACATCAGGAAGAATTCCAGACTATTAAAGGATTAATCACAAGATTCCTATGTGTGTTTCCTCACATCTGGCCTTATGAAACAGGTTGTTCCGGCACCTTCTTCTTAACATTTCTCAGCAGAAGCACAGCTTGAGTGCAGTTCCTGGAGCGGTTTCACTTTTATAACCAGCTGGGCGTATTTACAATTCACAAACACACTTTACTTTGAAAAAAAAAAAGAAAAAAAAAAACCATAAACGAATGTGTTTGTCACCTGGCACCGACGCACAGTCATGCTTATTGCTCAGTGGTGAGATTGCCACAGTGCAATCTGCTGGTTAGGGCTCGCAGGTGCTGTCAGAATGAGGCTGAGTGCAGCAGATTTCTGAAGGATGGTAAACTTTTTTAGCAGCACTTTTATTTTTGTGTATTATTGTTAGTCTTGTTCTTCGCCGACTTTAACTGTCCGTGGTCCACTTCCACACCTGACACTCAATGATCAACATCAGCAGCAATAAATGCACCGTTCTTACATTTTCACAGTGCACTTGTGAATCTGCCCCACGTTGGCTGAAAACCCCCGAGTAGAACACAACTTTAATTTATATAATAATGATTTATTAGGAGCCCAGGGAGCAGTTGCCTGTCAAGTTGGATTAAGACCCAGTAATGAGACGCTTCCCTGAAAGTTCAAAGCCCCCACGAGGCTCAGTGCAATTAGACCCATTCTTTTTTTTGTTTTTGTTAAAGTGCAATTACCCTTTTCTTGTTATTCCCTTCTGTGGTTCTGTGCTGGTGTTTAATGTCCAGGAAGTCTTCTGAGTTTAGTAAAGAAATTATTTTCTCTTTTTTTTGTTTTTCTTTTTTGTATTTTCCTATTTTGAGAAATTTCAACAAAACAAGATTAAATATTCATTAGTCTTAATGTACATTTTCCTCCCTGGCATTGACAGCAGCCATTTACTTTTCATCTTTCATATTAGGTTTGTATAATGTTTACTTCTGCTCTCTCCTGATGTACTTAATCTTCTTAAATGGCTTGTTGAACGCCCACTTTTGCATAACAAATTGAAAAAAAAAAAGAAAAAGATAACTTTGTGAAACAGTGGACGAAGGTGGACGCTAGGTTTTGCTTCTGGTTTGTTACTTCATGTTCATAGGAGCTGGCTCCTTTTCCCGAGACAAGTTTTGTCGTAGTTACCGTGAACTTGGAGGCCATTTTTGTGCAATTATCAAGCAGAAAAGTTTCTATCTGAAAGCTGCTTTTCTTCCATTCATTCCTTTCTTGTTTTTTTTCTACACCTCTGAGTCGTCAGGTGGTTTTGTTTTTATTATTATTATTATTCTACAACCTCCCAAACGACCGTTGGACTGAGACACCTAGAAACAGGTTCTAGAAAGGTTCCTGCTCAGCGTTTCATTCCTATCGTTTCCTGTCTTTCTCTGAGGTCTCGTTCTGTCTGGGAGTTGTATAACTTGCATTAAACTGAATTTGTTTACTACTGAGTGGACATGAACACATTTGACTGTTCCCCACCGTCTTATGGCATCATTCCACAAGTTTGTCTGTGAATTTTACAATGAAATAGTAACTGTAAAAAATAATTTTTTTGGTAAAAAGTAAAAATCAGTTTTTAAAAGACAATGTTGGTGTTTTCAGTTGGATTTCCCATGTTTGAACAAAGTATGTAGAGTTAAAAAGAACAACCAAATAAAATGAAGTTGCTTTTGAGCCTCCGTGTGTTTTTCAGTGTGCAAAAAAAAGATCAAACAAAAATGGAGGGCTTAGCGATCTGCAGGATTAGCTTAGCTTAGCATTGGGAGAGGCTAGCTCTTGTCAGTTAGTAGTTAATACGTGTTTTCAAGTTAATAAAAAAGAATTGTGTGTGAATACATATTTTGCTGATTAAAACATTGGTGACTCCTCCCCCAGTTAGGTACTACAATACAAGTATAACAGTAATGTGTATTACAACAAGCTACACTCTTAGTTTTGCTATTCATGTTAGCGATTTAGAAGATGTTTTTTGTTTGTTTAGCTCATTTAGACACTTGGTTATAAAACACACTATAAAACACTGGTTCCCAAATTGGGGGGCAGGGCCCCTTTTGGGGTTGTGAAGTTATTGCAGGGGGGAGCCACAGAATGTCAAATTAATATAATTTTCAGTATTGTTTTTATTTGTGCCACAATGTTAAAACTTCATTCATATAATGATAATATCCATTTTAATTAACTGTAGTTATTTAATACAATTCAATGCAGCTATTGCTTTAAATGACTCGATGTAGTAGGAAGGCTTGTTGTCAGTCTTACCTACAAAAATGGCGGCCACTGCTAAAAAAGTTTGGGAAACACAAAGTTAAGACAAAGGCAAAGCTAAGAGTTAGATCAGTGCCACCTGTGAGGTTTTGACTCGATGTAGCAGGAAGGCTAAAAAAGTTTGGGAAACACAAAGTTAAGACAAAGGCAAAGCTAAGAGTTAGATCAGTGCCACCTGTGAGGTTTATCAAGGTTAGCAGGTGAAGTGGGAACAGGTTTGAAGAGAATTTATGATCAATTTAATTTTTAAAAGTAAATATACACAAAATAACCTACTTTTGAGTTTTTCTTCTTCAACCTTCTACCTGGAAAAAAGGTTATTTTTATTTTGTTTATTTTTTTTTTTCATTTTTTAAAAAATTCCCAACATTTCTGACAAAATTATTTTTAATTTAAGTTTAACTTTTTTAATGAAAAGAAAGATTTAGTTTTTTTTATAAAAGCCTCTTGATAAAGGTTGAAGCAGAGACCAGACTAAGAGTAATCAGATCAAACGTGTACCATCTGGGAGGTTTGTTAATTAGCAGCTAAAGTGATAACAGGTTTGATGGTCTGTTGTGGCTCTTCACTTTGCCTTAGACTTTTCAACAGACTCATCTTCCAGTATAAAAATGCTCAGTGCGTGAAAAGAAAGAATGTACGGCGATGACCAGTTACAGTTCTTACTCTTGTGTGAAATTCTCAGCGAGTCGAGGAGCAGAAGGTAAAGAGCTGAAACTGCTGCAGTCCATGTGACCTTCAAGCCTGTGTGCAGAAGTGCAGTAGAAAGAGCTGTACTGCAGTGATGGACACGGCCATATGTTTTCTGGATTACTTCAGGGAGTCGGTGTCGCACAGCACAGGCTGCTGCCAGTGCCAGGAAATGCCCCTAAATACTTTGTGTTGCAAAGAGGAAGCTATTCATCCAGTTCACCTGAGTCCTGCTCCTCTGAGGTAGACCAAAGAAAGACGAAGACCAAGAAAATAAGCCTTGAATTAAAGGTGTCAGAAAACTGCATAGCCAGCATGAAGGAACTACATGAATGTGATGGTTCCAATGATCCAAGAGGAATTTCAGACAATAGTCACATCAAGACCAATGCCAAAAAAAAAAAAAAAAATGGGGAAATTTACAGTCAGTCTTTGCAACCAACCCAGGCTGCCACAGGAGGCGCTATTACATCTGGATTGCAACTCACTGCCTGCCACACAGGAGGCAGCATCAAGAATATGTGGTTCCTCTGGGACTCAAATCCAAGACTCTCTGCTCTCAAGGCTAACGCTACGCTACACTACAGACCACTGAGGAAATGACTGACATCAGTGGACTAGAGGACGGCCCTCTGTGAAAAGGACAATCAGACAAAGGCTACAATGGACAGGTGAGCAGCCGGTTCTTTTTTAATACGGCGACAATGGAAAGAACTACAACCTACTAGTATCTATGTAGTATTATTATGTTCAGTAAAATCAAAAGTTTTCTCCTTTGGTCTAAATAACTAAAATAGTTGATCTGCTCTGTATGCACATAAAACACATTTCTGTAATATTATAAAGTAAACAAATATTTTTGACAATTTAAATTTAGAAGCAGGATAGAAAATATACAAAAAAAACCCCAACAACATCTAAACAGCAGTATGAGTGAAAAGTATGAAGAGAGATTTATACTGCAGAAGCTAAAAACCGCAATATTTTTATAAACTCTGAAATAAAAATAAAAAGTATTTTGTTTTAAAACATTAAAAAGACTCCAGTGACGTGTGAAGATCAGCTCAGATTTATGCCTCATGTAGCGACACTGTTGGGTATCCTGTCGGGGCACATGTTGTAGTACGGCAGCTTCTTCCCCTCGTTCCTCCTCTTGATGGCGCTGGTGATCTCTGCCAGATGTTTTCTGAACTTCTGCATTGCCATCTTCACTGGTTTCTCAATGAAGTGCTCATCAGGATACATGCCCAAATACAACTGCAGAGGGGGGGGGGAGGGTGAACTCTCTGGTTCTTAGATCATGGTACTTTCTTTGTTTGGCATAAATATACCTCATTTTCCTGGTACTGGCTCAGGGCCCACACAGCACCCAGGTGCCAGCTGGAACGTCCACGATCGGGAAGACTCTTGACGATAAAGTTCACATCTGCCATGCCCTTCTTGTTGGGTGGGGGCATCCGCATTGTAGATGGGGCGTTGGGGATCCAAGAATACCAGTCGTACTACACACAAAGTACACACAGCAGCTACAGTCACTGAAGTATTGTACAGGTACTGAGTTAATACTCTCCTCCACCATGAAGTTCCTGTCAGGGAGAAGTCATAACATCTCAGCAAACCTCAAGTCTAGAAGCCCCCTAGTGGTTACCTAGTGTAGGTTCGGCTTGTGGTCATGTGTTGCGTCACATTTTCCTACTTTTCAGCCTCTCCCAATGCTAAGCTAATCCTGCAGCTTCGTATCTGCTGCCCTGCATCTTTTGCAGATAAACTGAGACCACATTTATTTATTTATTTATTTGTTATTTTTGCACTTTGTTTTGTACTTCAAACGTTCTGACGGGGACCTCTCCCTGGTCTCTCACCTGCCCAAAGTTGATCGATGCGTGTTGTGCTGAAGCGGTGAAGATAATGATGGTCAGGTACTCGATCAGCTCCTCACGTGATTTCAACAATTTGGGGAAATCTGTGCATGGATTAGGGAGAGAGTTCAGGTGGACAAAGTTGAGGAGTGAGTGGAGTAAAGACTGGTCCGCGGCCCAGGGGTTGGGGACCATTGCTCTAGATGCCACAATGACACATTTCACTTGTAGTTCCTAGTTGACTTTGTATGTGGACTCACCAGAGTTATCCAAGTCCTGCATTCCAAAGCTGCACACATCTTTGACGAAGGCCTGGATCTCCTCGTCTTCCTGCACCGTGTCGTCACTGCTGTAATAAATCTGCACCACATCAGTCACGAACCTGAACCAGAGGGAAGACGAGACAGCAGAGAATTAAAATAGTTCTCTCACACACACAGATGTAGACACTGTGTGAAACACACATGTCGTTCACTGCAGCTCTCACTGTTTCAAACACACATGTCGTTCACTGCAGCTCTGGCCACAGCCTATAACAAGAGTCCCTCACTCTTTGATGGCCTCCCACACGCTGCAGCCATCGTCTCTGTAGAAGAAGGTGGGCAGCTCCTCCCTGTTCTCCAAGCCCCGGGCCTTAATGGCATCAGGGAAGCACAGGGACCTGAAGGTCAGAGACCTCATGGACTTCTGCACCAGCTGAACATGACCTCCTCCCCCTGTGGCATTGGCCTTGAACAAGGCGGAAAGAAAACACTGCCGTCATAAGAAGTTAATAGTTAACAGCGTTTTGAACTAACAGGAAGATGGGAGACATTTTTATGCACAGTGGAAAAATGATGATTTGATGATTTTTCTTTAAGAGAAAAAACTAAAGAAGACCATTTAGACTACACTGAAATAAAGCTGCAGCTTATAATGGAAAACATACCTAGATGTGACCGGTCAAAGATGCATTTATTTAGATTATTAGTATAATAATAGTATAAAGCATAAATATGAAGTATATTTGTTGCTCTTTTCATCAGTTTTGCAGCCACATTCTTCCCTCTGTTCCTTCCTCCAGTCTTCTGTAACTGCAGCAGTAACAGTTCACCTCCGGCCTCACTCACCTTGTCAAAGATGCCCCGCTCGTTGATGAGCTGCTCTCTGGCCTTGGTGTTGATGGCCATAGTGAAGCGAACGTGTGGGAGGAGCAGCTGGAAGAAAGAACATGAGCCGCTCGGTCAAACACTCCAGTAAACACATCATTTCAGTGGTTTGTGTCAGAGTGTGTTTCCTGTTGTGTTGGGCACCTTGTACGCTGGGTGAACCGCCGGCAGCTGCCTGTTGATGGCGATGGCGAACACCTCCATCATCAGGTGCGTCCTCAGCAGGTGTGTGATAGTCTGGTGGTAATGGAAGTCAGCCGAACGAACCCAGATCTTAGCCAGCAGCCAGTCGTACTGACAGTCGGTGGGCAGGAAGATGGGCGTGTCCTCACCAGGAGTTTGTCCAAGCTGGGGACAAAGACGATGTCTGAAGTTGAGAGCATGCTGCAGACATGAAGTGAGAGTTAAAGTTTTCACAGTCACCACTGGACCTGGATGGCGATGGGCATGATCTTGTTCAGGGCGTTCTTGTAGAGCAGACATATTGGTGCTGCTATGTACTGCGTCGTGTTGGGGTCGGTACTGTTGGCAGAGACGCCGTCCAACACCTCATAGTCCGCGATGTAGACATTACCAGCCTGGAACCACAACAGAACTTCATACATGAGAAGAGTAGATACAACAACATCAACACCGTCAATATGGTTGACACACAGAGGAGAAACAGAGAGCAGATACAACAACAACAACATCAACACCGTAAATATGGTTGACACACAGAGGAGAAACATGTGGACACGTTGACCTCTATCTCCTGCTCCAGGGTCAACTCTCTCTCCAGACTGACAGCAACCATCGCATCAGTGACAGGGAACTTGTCAGGAAGCTTGGTGCACTTTTTGATGACCACAGGGTTACAGCCGTTCAGAAACTGGTATCCAAACATGAAGTCCTCCTTCCAGTGTTTCATCACATACTCTGGATAATAATACAGTTCCAGGCAGTGGGATACGTTACGATACACAACGATAGCATACAATACCATACAATAAGATATGTTTTGATACAATACAATACAATTAGATACAATAAAATATGTGTAATTCAAATACAATATACAAGGGTGAGTCAAAAGGCTCCAAGACAGATGGTACATTTTTTTTATCTGTCTGTGAATTGTTTTTGACTTACCCTCGTAGTCTAATATGACATGAAATAATTAAAAAAAGAATCTGACCTGAAATTGTGTTTTTGATTCTCACAAAGATCTTCTCAAAGTCGGAAAAGTCAGACCACGAGCTCTGGAATTTGTGCATAAACTGGTTCATGCACAAATTCTCTATTCTGGAAATGAGAATTTCAGGAATCATCATTAAATTTATCAATATCATAAACATTGCTGAACCACTGGAGGGAAGTTAGAATAAAAAAGCTGATTTGGCAGTTTCTGTGACGCACAAAATGAAACCCGAGGTAACACTGCAGGGTGGAATAGGAAGTATGAAGAGAAAATGGCTTTCACTCAGTTCAGCCCAGAGAAATTTAACGTGTGTTCACACATCATAGAGTAAATAAACATTTACAAATATTCAATAATGTTTAAATGTTTAAAACTGTATTTATTAATATACAGTGATTCGTGGAGAATTGATTTGGTAATGTTTAAAACTGTATTTGTTTAAAATACAGTGATTCGTGGAGAATTGATTTGAACTTTGAACTCTTTATAGAAGGTCAATGCAAATGACCACGCCTTAGCTTTCCCCCCTGACTCTCGTAGTGTTGTTTTTTTATTTTAGCACTGTTGTTACCGTGCCGTGTCTTGTATTGTCTTAACTTCACAGCAACATCCTGTTAGAGGCAACACTTACGCTTTAGCATAGTTCAATACAAAATCCACTCCTTTCTCAGTGTCAAACTGGATGTCTCTGGGTAAATCCTTGTGTCTGTTAGCATCGATGCTCATGGGGAAGCCTGGCTGCCACTCCCTCCACCTATGAGAGGCAGGATAATTATTATTCATATTATTATTTGTAGTAACAGTAGTGGTAGTGTGGCTTCAGCCCACCTGTAGTTCTTCTTCCTCAGCTCCAGCTCTTTGTGTCTGTGCTGTTTCATGATGCTGGTCTTGTCATCCTGAGGTAGACGTGCTGTGAAGTGCACATCAAACCAAACAAAGATGTGTGATTTCAGGAACTGATTGTAGTTGTAGTATAAAGGAAGAAAATAAAAGGCTGGTGAGGAAAATAAGTAGAAACCTCGTCCATCGCACAGCACCACCTCTTTGTCATCCACCAGCCAGCGGAAACAGGGGAACTCCTGGTAGTCTCCAGATGGGGTCTTGATAGTGATGTACCTGCAGTACCAGTCGTCGTATACCCAGTACTTTTTCTTCTCAATCTTCAACAGCACAATCTCACCCAGGTCTTCATCAGCTTTCACATCATAGGTGTCCACCTGCAGGTCAGCGTCAGGGTGTTTAAGGGAGCAGATGGGATGTATTCTTTTTTTAATTTTTATTAAATTATTTTTAAATTATAAATAATAAAATTTAAATAAATAAATAAATATTTAAAAAAATAAGTGATTTTAGAAAAAAAATTAAAATAATGTAATGATGTGATCAAATTAAAAAAGTAGAAAAAAATATATGTACATATGTATCTACATATATATGTATGTATCTATATTATTAAAATAGTAAAATTCAAGATTTTTTTAAAAATCCATTTTTTAAAATATATTTGTTATACATAAAAATGTCATCTTGGTTGATCGTGATTATTCTTATAAAACTATGATTAACCAAATGTCACCAGAGATTTCTTTAATAATGCTCAGTTGAGCAGAGTATTGACAAACATTGTTTGTGTATTAACATGACTCAGAGGGAGGGGTGAAAACATCAATTGGCTTCAGGCAGGACATATTTCCTGGGTCGATTTTATTCTCCAGAAATTATAAATATATATATTTTAAAATATACATTATGTTTTCCACTTACAGTGAGATATTTGTTTGGAAATACATATGACTTTGTTTCTAAGTCAAGTGATCAAGTGATTTTTTTTATTAGCTACAAAAAACTTTTTAACATTTTTAGAAAACATATACCCATTTTGAGTCCATGTAAACCATGTAAAGAAATACTTTTTTTTTAAGCTGAAGATGATGGAAAGTCTAAGAAATAAGCTGCAGTAGAAAAAATATATGTATATAAAAAATATGTATAAAAAAATATATATAAAAATATATGTACATATGATGGAAAGTCTAAGAAATAAGCTGCAGATATTCGCTCCTCAGAATATACTATAGATACTATCTCTATATACAAAATATAGATCAGTGAATATAATGGCAGTTGTTCCACTTCACTCACCGCCCCTCTCTCAAAGTCGTTGTACAGAGGTTTATCCAGCAGCTTCCTCTCACTGCAGTGCTCCGATCCCACCAGGGTAATGTAGATATAGTCGTCTGTACCTGCAAACCACTGGCTCCCTGTAGCAATAGTCACTCTGTAAACAGGCATGGTGGAGAACGGAGAAATCTGTAGAGAAGCTACTCAACTGCCAACCATCAAATGTTGGCGTTCAGGTTTCAGCTCAGCTGGGGTTTTTCCTTTTCCTCTGAGGGCTACCAAAAAAACAGACTGAAGAGGGAGGTGCAGGAGTCAGACCCACTCCTTCATCATGACCCAATACAATACACAACAAATGTGTTGTAATGTAGTGGTGGCTTCTAGTCTAAAAATGTGAAAGGTGTCACATTTACCTGCTCGTCTGGAAATAAGTCATAAAACAAGTCATTTGTTAGAGGTAAATGAAACTCCTTTAATGCAAACATAACAGTGAAGTCAACATGGACTCGTGGGTAATAAAGTACATTTATGTACGTGCGGCCGTCCGTTTTTAGATGCGATATTTACCAGTCAAATCTGTGTGTGTGTGTGAAAGCAGACATCAGACCATGTGGTTTCAACTTTTAGTGAAACAAATGCAAATGTTTCCCAGACATCGAGTAGCTACAAACTATAGTTAGTGTCAATAGTATTTCACTAAAAAAAAATAATAATTTTGCTCTCAGCAGTAGCTACACTTCTGAAGTACTGATTAACATAGACACACACACACACACACACGCCACAGTTAATAATCATGAAGGTGAAGGGTTTATTGTATTTCTGCTTCTGAAAAAAATAATAATACAGCAGGCAAAAAGTCTTTGTATGAAATAATCGTTTTCCTTCACACCAAGAACAAGAAACAGGCAGAAGACAATAAATACATGGTATAAAAACAGTTGATTTAAGATCAAGACGACAAACCAGGAGATAGAAATCACACAAATGCAAATAACTGTCACAGTGTACAGCAGAGATAAATTTCTAGGAAGACGGATGAACATAAACAATGTCATGTACAGCAAAATATTGCAATTTGGAGAAAAAAAGGTAATTTTATATACATCAAGGCTAAATTTACTTCAGTGCAAAGAAAAGTTGTATCTACATTTTTCTTTATTTTTGTTTTATTATTTTGCGTTATGATCGCATAAGCCTCAGTGTCTTGAACGCCTGTCATCACTGTGACACCAGTGGGATGTAATTGGTTCCTCCACCTCTTCTACAGCACATTCTCAGCTCTTCCTGAAGGTGTAGAACCTCACATGACTCACAAAATAACACTCATCTGAGTCACTGAACTTTTCCCTAAGTTACAAAACAAAATATTTAAAGCATCAAGTAAAGATACACCGATTGAGTTTTAGTTCATGTTGAAGATGCAGGGATTTTCCATGAAATATTTAAAGAATCATAGAAAAATAATCTATGTTGTAATTCTATTCTGTGCTAATCTGCAGGGATGCTTCCCATGGTTGAATTTTACTCTCTCTCTTTTTTTTAAATTGATTCTGCAAGTGAGTGGCATTTCTGGGTCTTTCCCAGCAGGTGATTACTCTCAAAGGAGGCAGAGACACCGTTAAAACCTAAAACGAACTAAACCAAGCAGCATAAAAAATGGTTGATTTACATGCATCCCAAAAGTGACTTTTTTATAATCAAATGTCACATGTCACACATTGCATAAATGTTTTTACAGGTCTTCTTATGCACTTCCACATATGTTTACTGCATCAGTACTGCCATAAACAAAAGCGTAGAGGAAGTCTGCGGTGGACGATGAGGGAGTACATTTGTACTGTTCAATGCCATGCTATGTCTGTCTATAAGCAGATTTTAAAGCATGTGCAGAAACCTGAAGGATTATTAAGTCTGCAGACACTGACAAGTCAATGTGGAATTTAAAACACTTGTTATTAAGTTATTATTATGTTATGTTCATGTTATTATTAAGGTATTTCATCATATACAAACAGAAAATGCCTGAAATCAACGTGCTGTTTTTGTTTTAAAATACAAAAATAAATCCTTAACATTCTAATCTGACATGACGTTTGTTGAGAAGCGATTGACTGATGGCTTCAGCTCTAACGGTTAACGTTTCCATTTGAATCCAACGCTGCCACCCAGTGGCAACCGGTCGCTAAATCAATAAATACAGAAAGAAAAAAAATGCTACAGTGAACTTTTTCTCCTGAGATCCTTCACACTCGTGTGTTCCTGCTGGTCTGGTCAAACTCTCGTCACACTTTACCCAATCATAGCTGAGCATGAATGAGTACCATTAACTATTGTCAAAGCAACACACTCAACACACAAGTGGGAACTTTTTGATTGGCAGAGAACGCAACTGAAGCCGTGGCGTTTAAAAAAATAACCCTAAGGATTTGTCTACATGACAAACACCAACAGAGAAATTAAGCAACAAGTGATTATAAAATAAAAACGTAAAATGGTGTCAACAATTACTGCAGAATATCCCAAACAGGCAGAACCGTATCAACAATTATTTGAAACAAGCACTTGTTAAATTAAGCAACCAGTGATTATAAAATAAAAACGTAAAATGAAGGATTGTGTGCGTGTGTGTGAACCTGGTATAACTAACATTTGTTCTGGATGGAAAACAATCACCGGCTAATTCAGGTACAGAACCTGCTTCAGGAACTCGTGTGTCGTGAAGGCCACGGCCTGGGAGGGGACGCAGCGGATGTAGTTGAGAGACAGGCCTCGGTACAATCCTTTCTTCACACCATATTTCTGGTACACGAATTTCAGGGTCTTGGTCAATGATCTGTACGGGTTCAAGACAAGAAAATATACATTTTTCAAAATATTAAAGTGTAAACTGATGTTATTAGCTTGAGCTGTAGAGAGTTCAGCCATTGACCCTCTCAGGTAAGGTGCTATGGTTACACCTGTAATGTTTCATTAGACCATTACAGTTGTACACTTGGAGTGTACATGACACGGTGACTTATGCTATGCCTCTACCACCTGATTGGTTCAACTGAGTCCAATGATGACATTGTAAAATTATTTTTTTTAAATAATCCTTCATGGATTATTCTAAATTGTTTTAAAATCGTACCCATAAATAGAATAGAAACTTGAGTGCTACTTACACACACTTGTCAGAGTCAGGGAGCACAGCCCCCAGCTGCATTCTTCTCCTGGCCACATCCAGTGGATACCTGAACATATGTGGTGGCATTAGATGCTGAATAAAAAAAAAACTATTTTGGCTAAACATTTACAGTAAACTTGTGCCCCGTTGTGAACGGAACAGCCCGTGGCAACAGCACGTACGATATTGTCTGACCCATGGCACCAGCCAGCCCCCCGCAGAGCAGGTTGACATGGGATTTTAGGACGAGGACGTCAGGGTTGTCAGCAGAGGGCCGTCCCAGCAGCTCTGGGAAGTGCTTCAGGCCGAGGGTCTTCAGGCTGCTGAAGGTGAAGAAGGACAAGCCTACAGGAGAGAAACGGGTAGAAGGTTTATAAAGATGAAGAACCATGATAAAAAAATGTTCACAGGATCTTAAAATAATGCTGCAAATAGCAGTCACCTGCGTATGGAACCATTCCAATAAGTGTAGGTGTAAGTCCTCTGTAGAAGCCCTGCATGCCCCCCTCCTTTAAAAAGGAGAGAATGGAAAGGTTACAGTTGGACTAAATGAGACTCTCATCACTTCTTTTCCAGTAAATACTTGTTAATGAAGTACATCTGTGACAGGTCACCTTTTGGCGGATGGTGCGGAAGGCGTGCACAATACCATGGTACCGCTGCTCTCCCTTCACCTGGTAGGCCAGTCTGGCTCGGACCACGTCCAGAGGGTAGGTACATATCACCGCAGTCATACCTGTAAACAGACACAAACTAACACGTCAGCAAGACTTTACTGTAAAACTAGTTTACGTTGACTGTCACCCATGGAACACATTCTATTTCCTAATATCATTAGCAGGAGTTAACCAGACTATGGTTACTGTGTTGAGCCTCTGTAGGTGGACTGAAGGGGCTCAGATGGCTGCGGTTATATCTCACTCAAATTATTTTATTTTTTACAGCCTGAATCTTTTTCAATAAAACAGATATGTAAAGTTTGATCCAATTTAGAGGAAAATAAATAACAAAGCATGACCAACAAAACTGCACACATGAGTTCATACAATGTGTGATGTGTAAAGTTTGATCCAATTTAGAGGCACACATGAGTTCATACAATGTGTGATGACAGATGGGCTGTTTATCATGCTCATCTCTCAGTAAAATCTTCAGGAACATTTTTATTTACATTATAAATTGATTCCATTTATTGAAGCGCTTTTATTGGAGTACTTTTTGCAAATGTAGCTTGAAACTGGTCTGTTGTGGGCATTTACTATAAAAGGGTATTTGCAGATAAAGCTACATTTTTAATTTGTTATGACATATTGAGAAGCTTGTACAACAATGAGACAGATTTTATATTTCATGCCTTCATACTACATCACTACGTAGTTACCTGCCATAGAGCCGGCCATGAAGTTGTGGATATACCTAGAGATTCCCAAGTGTTTACTTAGCAGCTGTAAAGAGAACAGCAGAGTAGTAACAAAGGTCAACAGATACAACAATAAAACAAGCATTATGGGGAGGGTATCAGAGGGAGCGGAGGGAGCAAAGGGAGAGATGGCTCACATCTCCATAAACAAACCAGCAGTCAATGATAACATGCAAACAATCTATGTAAGTTTGCTCTGTAGATCCATCAACCTTAGACAATATACCTTTTTATAGTTTTCAAAGGTCATGAACTGGATAGCTCCGTATGGAAATACCCTGACCATCATCGCCCCGTTGCCCCTGTACAAACCCAGGAAGCCTTCTTTTTTTGGCACAGCCCTGAGGGTGGAAAGAACCCCTGAAAAGAAAATCAGACGTTTCACAGATGTGTAAAAAAAATGATATAATTCTTCATGTTCCAAAGCTGGAGTGTTACCTAGATGTTTGTAATGCGGGTTCTGAGCTTGAAGCAGGATCTTGACTCTGTCCAGAGGAGCGATGGTTGTTTTGGCACAGCATCCTGCCAAACCTGACCAGAAACACATGGGCAGATTATTAACATCTGGAGCACTGAACATCTGGGGTAAAACTTTTCCTGAGATACTTTTACATCTTCTACTATTTAGATATCGGCATTAGATCAGTGATGAAAATATAGTCCTGGCACAAACATCTGTTGCAGGGTCTCAAATAAACCCCAGAAGGCCTTAAAGAAATGGAGCGAGGCTTGATGGAAATTGGCTGCAGTGTTGCTGCCAGAGTATGAACCGTTGCCTTTGGGTCAAATTCCACCTCAGACTGTAAATCTCCAGAGACGCTGCTAGTGATAAAACTAACAGATGAGTCAAATCTTACCTCCAGCTAAAAAGGAGCGCAGCAAGTAGGCAGTGGAGTTGCTAATGGCAGGTGGTGTGGAGACCGTGGCCTCCGATGTCATCCTTTTTGCTCAGTGAAGCGCCACATCCACGTTTGTACACTGAACAATGAACACGATAACACACAAACATGAATTACCGTCTAATAATCTAAAATGTTTATCCATCCAGCAACTGATGTTATCATGAAAGGTCAAGACCAGAGAATCACAGAGCCAGAGAAAACTAAAAGACACAGTTTCATAGTACTATATATCCAAAGTAAATTAAGTCTTTAATTAAGTAGTAATAACAATACAGTAAATCTCACAGTCTTTAATTAAGTAGTAATAACAATATATTAAATATTTATATTTATAAATAAATATTTATACATAAACTTTTATAGGTCCCATGATACATGACTTTTTTTGAATGTGTATGTGTGTGTATATGTACGGGATGTGTATATATATATTAATCTATAGGTATTTGTATATTTTTAAATAACTTTGTCTTTACAATTAGATTAAATGAGATTAGATAGATGAGATACAAGCGCACACGTTTATAAAACCTGAACTTAAAAAACGAAGATGGATGACCTCTGAGCCATAGATTAACACCACTGTCATAACACAGTGCACACTAGTACTGTAGTTAGGAAGAGCCTGTGCACCATCTACTGTCACTTTAAACACAATGATGCATCAGTGATACAGGAAACGATTTTACTGAAATCGCTACACTTTAACTGAGGCTCATAATTATGGCGTATTTATGATATAATATGAACTGTTGTCAATCTCCAGACACATATTTCGTGCAAGTACAACTATGACCTACATGGTCTGCACCACATTTCACTAGATTCGTATCAACCTATCACATTAAATGAGCCTTATTTTAAAAAATCCACAAGGTCAAATGATAAGAGACAACACTTTGCGCCCCAGTGGCTTCTTCGGCAAACATACTCACATGTAATTAAAGCTGTGACAGGCTCAGATCCCTGATGTAATCCCATCCCAGACCCTCTTTCCTTACGAGGCAGAGTCTCGTTTCCTTCCTGCCTCCTCAGATGCGGTATGATCATTGACAGCGGCCGACGTGACACTGACACACCCGTCCTTCACGAAATCCTCACGGACCTAAACGATCAGGGTCGGAGCGTCAAGAATGAGTCTAAGAAATCAGAAGGATTCTCTAGTGTCCTTCGCCCGTGGACGGCAGAGTGCTGGCCAAAAACTGTCGCATGTTTCTGACGTTTTATGACGTCAGAGCCAGCGAAGAAGCATGTCGAAACAGGGTCAGGCGGTTGCGTTTGTAATTAAGAAAAAACAAGATTATAAAAAAGTTAAAATTAAATGTTTTCACAAAAGCCTGAGTAGATACACGAATAATAATATTTTATCGTTCTTCTTCTGTTATTATTATTACCGGTCTTTTAGTTCTAAAAAATATTTATAGAATTCATTTTAGAGTAGGCTATATGAAATTATAATAATTACAAGTATTTTAACAAATTTATAATAAATGTATGCTCATTAAGGTAAACAAATAGGTAGTATTAAACAGATCAGGTTACATAAAATATAATTTGTTTTATCCTGGTCTATAAGCATGCTTAATAATAAATAATATCCAGGCAAATACAATGTGATTAGGGTTTTTTGTGCGCAATGCAAATAAATTAATGTGGTTATAACAACAATAATCATCTAATAACCTATTAATTACCAATCTAATAACCTATTAATTACCAATCTATTAATTATTACTTACTTAATTAATTATTTGTTACAATTAATTAATTGTTAAATTGTTATTACTAACCCACCACTAACCCACTAACCTATTAATTGAATCTACTAATATCCACATATACGAATACTAATGCTAATAGTATGTACTAATATCCATTAACATTCACTGTTAAGGTTTTTTCGCCATTCTATCTATCTATAAGGGTAAACAGTTAATATTAGATCAAAAGATATATTGTAACAAAGCTTTGTGTTGTTTTATGTCTTCTAATAAAATGTCATCCTTACATTAACACTAAGTAGTTTACAAACAATTATTTTCCTGAGAAAAATAAACCCAAAATATGGTAAAGACTTTGTCACGGCATGAAGGAAATTAAAATTATTTTAAATTATTGAAAGAAACTAATGTGTAAGACTATAATGAACTTTATATTTTCTTATTTTAGCTGAGAGCTGTACAAACTACAAAATATCATTTGCATACCACTGTGGGAAAAAACCTCTCACTTTGCTTTAGAGAGTAGTTATTGCATCATTAACCCTCACATTGTAGAAGGGCAGGGAAGATAAAGATGAGTGGGCAAGCACATGTCCCTGGAGACGGCCAGACTCCAGTGAATAATGGCCATTATCTAGACGTCGCAGACTGCACTTGACTGTTAAAACCTGGAAACTGCAGCCGTTTTCACAACTAGAAATTAAAACAGAAACACTGCAACCCAATAGTATGAACATAAAACGTTTCACTAATGGCTCAGTGTGTGTGTGTGTCTTAACAATGTAAAAACGTACATTTTTATAAACACATGCACATGATATAGCGCCAATAATTTTGACAAGAAATATTTATTCGATTTTTTTTACAATACAGAAGTCTGTATTAGAAAATTATATGCTATAGGCAAAATAATTCAAAATTTGCTTAATTTGTTATTCTATGTTGACTTTTATTCTACAACCAAAGCTTGTTCTAAAAAGGGTCTTGTTTAAATATTATTATTTTAATATGGAAATTTGAATATTTGATCATGGAATGTTGTCCACTGTCATCTAACCTCAAGTATTTGACACAACCAGTCATTACAACACTTTTAACTTGGTTTTACTGATAGAAAATATTCTTTCAATATTCATCTGCAGAAGAGAAAAAAACAGTAAGAAACACAACATGACAACTCCAGTCCGGGTTTTCCACTTCACTCTGCTCCAGATCCTACGACGCTGCTGTCCAGAGGAGACTGATGCTGTTGCTGCTGCCTGTGTTTGTGGAGGGAGAGAGAGCGGGACTGGCCCTGGTCGGACTGACAGGAGACAAGAGGGAAATTATGCTCTGAAGGGCGTCCTGCTCCGACAAGACGACGCGGAGCACATTTTAAAAACCCACTGGATGTGTGACGGCCTCGGTGTTTGTGCCATGCCCGTGTGTCACCGCCGTGAGAGGACTGAAGTTGCCAGCAGCGGTCTATATTTGCCAAGGAGGGAAACCAATACAAGGTCTCGCTGTCTCACTGGAGTGGAGTATTATTAGCTGTTCAGACAGTGCAACTGTCTCCCCTCTCTCTTGCTGGTATGTAAAGCATTTCAGCCGTAAGTGTGAGCGTTACTAACTTACTATGTAGAATAAACTCACTCTCCCGAATAAAAAAAAACGTTCCGCACAAAAGTTAAAGGTTCTAATTCGCGTCTACGCGTCGCTTTAAATGACAGCGGTCAAGTGCAGAACAATAATAAACAAGACATTCACAGCGACGGTGAAGGTGTTCTTACACAGTCATAAGCCTCTTCCGCCAGACAGAGAGTCGAAAACAGGATCCAGAGCAGAGTCCTCCAGCAGGCTGCCCTTTAAACTGCTCACATACTCTGCTGCTTTTGTTAGTCTTCTGTTTTTGTTCATGGCCAAAAACGTGCTTCACTTTACGCACGCAATGCGTTGCAAATGGAGCGAAACTGAATTTTGATCCCGCTGTTTAAAAGTTAACGAGTTAATTTTTTTAGCAAGAATATTTTTTGCAAACAATAGCAGCCCAAGCTATCGATGCAGAATAACCTGCTATTTTTCAGTGAGAGATCGAGGTGCCTCATCAACCATAATTTATTCTGTCCTCTCCCTACGTCACAATATCTCGGTTTACCCTCCCTATAATGTGTACAAAAACAAAAACAAATAAAGGCTGCGCAAAAGAAAAATATTTAACACTAACTTCATCATCTAAAATCGGTTATAACTAGAGAATTGTCAAAAAGTGCTATTATCACAAAGACCCATATGTTACTGTCAATAAAAGGATTATAAAATAAAATAGCAAGAGTAAAGAATAACATAAAAATGTGTCCTACACTTGCTATCTTTAAAAAGAGATAAAATGAACTGTTGAGATGTTGATAATTTTACAAAATGGTGGCTAAAATGTCTACATTGTATTATAAATTATTCTACATATATGTTTCTTCATGTTTAATCAGTGCAATAATTCCACAATTGAACAGTGAACATTGAACAATTAAAAAACATGTTATAATTAATACACAATTCTCTTTTTCATGTCTTTTTACAGGTCATGCACTGCTTCAATAGAACAGCAAACAGATCTCAATTTATAGTCTGACAACAAAACACACAAAAAGGAAAGTTTTATTAAACAAAGAAAAAAAACCAATATTGTGTGCTGTGCAAAAGGCTGTCAGACACTTTGCTCCCATGCAGGCTGCCAGAAATCCTCTCCTCCATGCCCTCAGCCATGCCTGCTACCACCAAACCCACCAGGAGGCAGACACTTTCTCAAAGAAAAACTGACCAGAAAGTGATTAGTACCAGGAGAAAAACCTGTAATTCAAACAAACCCCAAAGGAGAGCAAAAGAGAAGCCCCAGAAAACACCTGCAGAACCAAAAAGGTCAACAACCAGAGCACAGGCACAAACAGGCCAAAGCCCACGGGGAAGAGGCGTTAGTGGGCCCTCTAGTCGGGGCCGAGGAAGGGCCCCTGGTTCTGATAACCATGCCCTGAGTAAAACAAGGCTGGGATGCCAGAGGAATGTAGTTGACCATTGTGACAAGTTACTAGAATCCCCAGGGCGAAGGACTTCCCCACGAGATACTTCCTTTCAACCTCCTAAACCTTGCAGAGGAGGGAAAAACAGCAGGAGAGGTGCAGGAAGAAGAACAGCATCACAGCAATGGAACATAAGAAACCAGCCCTCGAGCATCGATGATTTATCTCCCAACAAGAGTGACACAGGAGACACAAAACCGGATGAAACCTGCAATGTGGAAGAAATCTCCCCAGTATCTCTAAAAACAAAGCAGGAGCCTCCTGTTTGTAGCCGGGATCAAAATCTAGGGGGCAATATTGCCACAGAGGGCAGTCCTCTTAAAGCCGACTCACCACCATGTAAAGACACACTGGAAGACTGTGTGCCGTGCAGCTGTGGCAGTACTGTCACCCAAGAAGACAAAGAAACTGTCAGCCTGAACAATGAAGGTGACCCAAACCGTGGAGCTGGAGGGGCTGGAGCGACTGTGTGTGATGATGTTGACAGGCAGATGAAACTCTGCAGTGACAACAGTGAAGAAGGACTCCGTGAACCCCCTACGCTAACAAGCACCGTCTCTCCAGGGGCTCGGGAAAGCGGTGACATAAATGACACCTCATCTGTCAGTGGTGGAGAGCATGATCATCTCGACAACGATGGCAAGCAAGATGTTGAGTTCACTGTCCAGGAGCAACATATGATTTTGGAATCAAATGAGAATAGTACAAATGATGGGGGGGTTGAGAGAAAGGAGGAGAGGAACCAGGAAAAGGGAGAAGGAACAGAGGCTCATGAAACAGTTGAGAGGCAGACTGAAGCTTCGCAGGCTACTGAGGAAGTTGCTGAGACCCACGATGAAAGTGAGGAAAAAGAGCAAGGAATCGAAGACAGGGCGAATAGTATATCCATCGAACCTCGTGACCTCCACTTTGACACTGCAGCCTCTCGGACTGCAAGTCCTGCTCGTTGTAACGATGGACTGATACCCGTAGGTGTTCTACAAGTCTGCAACACAGCTACCTCAATTTTCACCAAAGCCTCCTTCACCTCAGATTCAGCTGGAGTAAAAGTACTGAATGAGAATAGGACTCGCGCGCAATCTACCATTCACGATGCAAAACCTGATATTGCAGAATCCTCAGCTGTCCCCAAACCGGACCTGATGACACAGATGCAGCCTGTCCTGGTGAAAAGAAACATGCCAGTTATCATCCATAGCGATTCTCTTAAATACAAAAATTCAAAGGATTCACAACACGGGGAACCAAACCACCTACACCTGCACCTCCCTCCTTCTCAGGAAGAAAGTCAAAAGAACACACCAGCAGTGACTCAGACCAAAGATAGTGCTGCTTTTGAGTGCAACCATAAAGAGGTATCGCCGCTGTCATTGTCACTTGTTCCTCATTCCAGCACAGATCCTAAGTGCGAAGCAAAGTGCAGCGACGGCAGCGCTGCAGTAGCAGCCACAGAGCGGGAGACGGTGCCGAGGATACTAACTCCCTCCCTGGACAGTAGTTCCACCTTGTCCTGCAGCTCAGAGAGCACCTGCTCCTCGTATTCTTTTGAAACAGAATCCGATGCTGGTAATGGGGAGCCCAGCCTCTTAGCACAGTCCAGGTCTTGGGGGGCGGATGAGCCCTGCTTCCCCTCAGGGAACATTTTTAAATTGCATAAGAAAGAGAGGAAGAAGCGAAGCAGGTGTGGGATGTGTGAGCCATGCTTGAGGAAAGTCAACTGCAGCCAGTGCAGCTGCTGCCTCAACCGCAGGACTGGCCACCAGATCTGTAAACTGAGGAAATGCCTGGAACTGAGGAGGAGAAAACAGGCTTCTCCACTCACTCTCTCTGCAGCACAGGTGAGGATTTGTTAAACTGCACGAGTCAGTTTACTGTTTGTAATAGCAGCTCATTACACAGTGGTGAGCGGGTTACCGTCTGCACTGTGAGATGTGTACGCTTTGTGGTCTTTCCTGTACTTATGCTACTTGAGTGGAGCAATAAAAGAGGAAGTGTTACTCTGTACGTGTGTGAATGTTTCTACATGTGCGTGTGTGCGTGTAAGTGCGTGCTGGGACAATGAACATAGTGGTGCATGTGTGACACGAGGGAGACAGGAAGGCAGTGTCACATGACAGGCAGTGGGTCAGCATGTGTTTAGAGTATGATCCTCTGTGTGTGTGTGTGTGTGTGCTTGGTAATAAAGTTAAATGACTGAAGCTTTTTAATAGACTGCAAACACTGAGGGTGTTTGTGTTGCTGGTGTATGGGAACCAGTAAGATAACCAAAAGCTAGATTGATTCTGTAGAGTTGCACAAAATGCATGACAAATGCATGCACTTAAAAGATTATGTCTAGAAACACAACGATTGTCCTTGATATTTTGTTAGAAAGGAGACTTTGTCAATTGAAAGCAGCTGAAGATTTGAAGCTGACATCATCATATGACCATCTGAATGCTGCTTTTATTGATGGCAATTTGAAAGATATTGGGATTAGAGATGATCAGAATTAGAAATAAGAATATCAGAAGGATCTTTTAGGTAAAAGAAGAACCAAGAGAAGTTAATGGAATGGATTCAGGAGGGAGGAGGTGGACCAATGAGATCAGCTACTCACTTACTCTACGTGTAAGATGTGTGAAAAAAAAAACACCATGTGCTACCAGATGAGCACATGGCACAGCACACAGCACTATGACTGGCAGTCTGTGGCCACATGTCGTTAAATTTTCAGACAGGTGTTTAAAATGAAAAAGCATTTAGTTCCTTGTTTGGTACATGTTTTGTAAGACTGGCAGTTTGTCAATTGAAAAGAAGGGGAATGTGAGACCCTACAGCTATACATCACCATACGCACGCACTGTCGTTCAGTGGTTTCCATGTGGGCTGGGGGTGCACACGTATGATTCACAGTCCATGTGCCTGTGCAGGTTTGTGTGAACAAGTGTGCGTGCCTTCGTGAGTAAAGACTCAAAGTGTAAGCAGTGGCAGTAACAGATTGGGGTTGATTATATAACACCTGTGGCGTTAGCGGCTAGGACCTTTGTGTAGTTATGCAGCGTTTTAGACAGAGAGTTGCACAAAGAGAGAGAGAGAGAGGTCAGGCATGCCAGAGATTTACTCTCATATCATTTCTTATTCACTGAAAGTGGGTCAGATTGTGCGTTTGTGGCTATGTGGAGGAGGTGTGGCCCTGCTTCAGATTTATACCTATGGTATTATGGTATGTATTGGAGTTAGCGAAGGATTTTAATCTAGAAGAAAAAAAATAGTAATTATAAATGTATATGTTTTTATTATTTTTTTAAGACCACTGCTCATTGGACCTTAAATTGTACCAGTAATGTAGCATATGTGGTCCTGATGGGTATGCTGAAATGTCAGGACATTGCAACCAAAACAAATGGGTAGGGACAAAACGGAGTTAATAAAACCTGGTTTATAGGTTGCCATTGCAAAATGCATTTTTCTTATCATTGAAGTACTTGAAGTCTCAAGTACCATAAAATGCAACACACGCCTATTAGCTTGCTGTTGCTCTGAATGTGCCAGTTATGCTTGTGGCTCTGGAGCCTGTGTCACTGGGATGTTAAAGACTGCTCCAGGTGCTGCCAATATGTGTTGTCAAACAGTTATTGAGCAACCTCCTGCAGTTTAGGTGCAGGGCAGGGCAAAGTTGCAGTGTGTACACTTTTTGTAAAAAAAAGTTGACAAAACATATTGTGGCTTTTGTATTTTTATCTCATACTTGTAATGTCAGTTAACTGTTCACTTACTCTGCTGGACAATCTTGCTAATCAAGCTCACACACCCTGCCAGTGAATGTTTATGACTAAAGGGGGGGGGGAAATGACCAAAATTGAGTTCAGACAGTGTCATACATGTGAATCCTATTCTTGGTTTTAAGGAAATAATAAATGAAAAAAATACATTCTTTTGAAAATGAGATGAAATAAAACCAGAAATAAACAATTTCATGTTTGTTCTCAGACTCCAGTCTCCATCTGTGGCTCAGTGCAGTGCAGCTGTAGGGTTGTTATTTTATTATTACAAATGCTATTCAGCAGCCTTCTAGCTATACAGCAATCTACCACACTATGAACCAAGTAAGCTGCCATTAATATCTGAAAATAACCTTCAGTTGTCATGACACAACTCTGGCAGAAACGGGACACAGCTGCAGTCCAGTTTGCAGGGAGTTTGCAGTGAACAGATCAATTTAAAGTGTTGAGTTTGTTTAAATATAAAAGTGCTATAGTGTTCTATACTATACAGACCCTCAGGCAGCCAAACGCTCCATTGTCTCAAGTGAATCCATTAAGTGGAAGTCATTTGTCCCTGCAGACGTTCCTGTCAGTTCCCTTTCCTTCCCTGACGCATGAAAATTGAGTTTTTAAGCACCCATGGTTGTCACGGTAACCTCATTGTCTGGTACTGACCTTTGACCCGCCTCACTTGTCTGGTGGAGTATACTCAGGGTCATAATGAGGATTACTGGAGATAACCAATGGACAGGCGCTATTAAGGGTTTAAGGTTTTGAACTCAGTAACCGGCCTGCAGGTAATTAGGTTACACTGTGCTCTGAGTAGGTCAGCAGAGGGCTGTCATTGACAGGATGGACACAAAAAATAAGGAAAGAAAATATAAACTTTTCTGCCCTTCTGTAAGGTAAATTAACTCGATGATGTTGATTATTAATGTGTAGTAATACTCTAAACAGAGGTACCTTTGTAGTATTCCAGCTGGAATTATGATTCTGTACAATGTACAAAAAAAATGCAATTTTTGTATTGTCAACATTTTACACAACGATGCTTGATGTTATTTATTTATCTTTACTTTCAGTTGCAAAAACTGAATTATAATAGACATTGATAAAGATGTATGTTTTCAATAAAACTGCACATAAACACATAGTGCATAATGTAGTGTAGTGTCCAATCAAACAGATGTTTAGTGATTTTAAAAAATGTCTACTAAATATCTACTTCAGACTTGCTAATGCAATAATAATGTTAAATCAATAGAATCAATGTACTACTTAGGATGTCTCAGTTTGGGCAGGTTTCAGTTTCATGTTGCTCAGTGTCATTCTTTTGAGGTAAAAAAAAGAGACCAAAGGCAGAACAGCAACCTTAAAACAAAACCTCTACCCACCTAAAAAACAAAGAAACCAACAAACGAAAAAGGTACAAAAATTTAAAGGCCTTGTAGGCAGCTACGCTTAATACTTTACCACCAATCACTCACAAATGAAAAAGCAGAAATCAACGTGATATTTTGTGTTTTGCACAATATTACATCTGTATAGTGAAAAAGGGAAAAATATCTTCCTTCCTTGAGAAAAAGTAAAGTGTCCGTGACATTTGCACGTGGGCATTCTGACGACAAGGTGACGGATGGCTGCACATTCACA